AGTATTTAGCAAAAACTAAATTAAAACCAGAATAGGCGAGTGCGTGGTTCTTGTTCGAGCTAGTATAGCGGCTGCTACGCCTCACGACAACAGCGCCGACCTTGGACGTGTGTCAAACTATGGAGCGTCGGCCTTGGTCCTTTGGGGAAACAGGTTGTAACAAAGGGTATTGCAAAGCACGGGACGGATTTGAAAGCCTTTGTTGCTTACACAGTTTCTCAGCTAGAGGGCAAAGAACATCTCCCATGGGGGAATGATGGACGGTGGTACCGATAACTGATGCGCTCAACACTGACAAAGGAGGCGAGGGAGGTTCAATAGTTCACGCCATTTGTTGTCGTTACTGTCATGCATGGACGCGCGAACTTTCTTATCGCCCGGCGGAACGCAAAGGTTCTCGCCTGTTTCAATTTACTGTCTTGACGCAAAGATAACGGATCTTCATTAAAGCTCGTTTTCTTTTCTTGTGGGCAACCAAGTAAGTTTGATTCATTCACTGGAGTTCGAAAGAGCGTTTTTAACTTGATACATACGCTTAATAAAAATACCGTATACGTTAGACTTGCACAGATTGCTTTTTGTTGGTGACGAAGCCGTTCAATTCACGCGAAAGCATTAACTGCATGGTTATCCTTCTCCAAGTGGGAACATTGAAAGCGACAAAGCAAAAAAATAATGCATACAAAAACAGTACAACGTGTCCTCTGATATATGAAGCTGCTTAGCTTTGACCCATATCTCGACTAAAAACAAACGTGATGGTAGGGTATGCCAAGATTGATTTCAAAAAGACACTCATTTATGTGGTACAAGCTTAGATGAATGCAAGTACAACCCACATATCAATGGCGCTAGAGGTGGCAGAATTTGAAATACTAACTAAATTTGAATGACTAAATAATGAAACTTCGCCATAACATCAAGGTAACAGTCACGACCCTGAAGAAGCGTATCGTATTCTTTGTGAGACGTATGCTGTTCAACGCTGATGGACAAACACATGTTTTCAATATAAGCATACATCCTCATGTTTAGTTTCATGTCGTTGTTTTACCATCTTAGAAGATGGTTCTACAAATACTGTCTGGTCTCTGAAAACAATTTTTCAGGGGCGAAGCTACTTAAGGCGTGGGCTGAGCGTTCCGTCGTAAACGTATGTAGTCGCCTCTCGTTAGTTCTTGCACCGCCCGTAGGGCGCGGTTCTCGTACTTATAACGAAATGCGTATACGCTGAAAAATGCAAATGGTACGATACTAGAGAATGTTACTTGTAGTATGATAAATATTAAAAATCACAGCATTTCCATGAATTGAATAATAATAAGTGGGGTGAAGCGTCCATCAGCCCGCCCGCGCTTCCGTCCGTCCTTTTGTTCTTGCGTCCATCCGTCCGTCCTCTCGTGCGTCCATTCGTGCGTCCATTTGTGCGTCCGTCCGTCCGTGCGTTCGCCCGTGCGTCCATTCGTCCAATTGTGCATCCGTCCGTGCGTCCATCCTTGCGTCCGTCTATGCGTCCGTCCGTGCGTTCTTCCGTGCTTCTGTCTATCTGTCCATTCTCTCGTGCGTCCATCCGTGCGTCCCTGCGTTGATCCGTCCATCTGTGCGTTCGTCCAGGCGTCCATCCATGCTTCCGTTCATCCGTCCACACGTCTGTACACGCAATTGTCCATGCGTTCGTGTATCCATTCATCCGTACGTGCGTCTGTCCTTCCGTCTGTCTGTCTGTCCCACAGTTCGTCCGCTTCGCCCCACTCGTCATCATTCACCTCTTGGATATTCTGCGATTTTCTTTTTCTCTTCCTTGTTGCAAGCCTTCCCGTAGCCCTGGCATATTCCGGTGCCCATGCAGACGAGTTACAGTTACGATTCGTTCTAAGGAAACATAGATGAGACAAATTTTCTCATTAATAAAACAACGTACTACATTTGTCAATGATCTGTGACTAGCGAACCTGCCAGCCTCCGAAATAGCGGTTTGAAGTGTTCTGCGTCAGGAACAACGGGACTTGCATGAATCTATAGATCTCTAACATGTCTACTTTACAGGGTTTATGATGTATTATTCTTATTCTCACATACTGCTAATACGTTCAACCGACTGAACATCTACTGTGTGTTTGAAGTAAATATTTTTGTGGCATTGGCTAAGAAAAAAAAAGCCGCATAGATTCTTTTCTAACCCATTCACATGCCGAACTTCATATTTCGTTGTCACGCAGAAAGTGCGAAATTTTTGAACCTTTGTCAAACAATTTATCGCGGCAAGAAAGCACTGTGCAGCACGTTTGCGTCATTTTAACTCGGCACTTCCCTGCTCTGTGGTCTGTATTTTCTAATATTTGGTTTGGTTTGGTTTGGTTTGCTATATTCAAGGCAAAATTGAACCAGATTGCCTTGGGGGACACGACTAAAGGCTAAGTAAATGCCTGACTTGGTCGTTCCACCCTAGCAGCAAAGCAGAAACATACCGCAAGCACAGTACGCAGAAAATTACAACATCACGTGTTATCTTACACGTTATCTTACAAGTTCAAAGGTAATAAAAATTATCTCTGCCTATTTTCGAACTTTAACACGCATAATTGAGTTTTTTGTTACGTGAACGTAAAACTTTTAGAAGCATTAGCAAAGCAATTATTATAAGATTATTCAGACGAGATTATCAAGAATTATCTTCAGAAGTATTTCAAGAACTATATATATAGGACTGTCTCAATGAATGTTAACATGATTTATTGATTGATATGTGGGGTTTAGCGTCCCAACACCACAATATTATTACGAGAGGCGCCATAGTGGAGGGCTCTGGAAGTTTTGACCACCTGGGATTCTTTAACCTGAACCAATTTCTGAGCCTAGGGTCCTATGGCATTTTAGCCTCCATCGGAAAATGCAGTCGCCGCCGCCGGGATTCGATCCCGACATCTGCGGTCAAGCAGCCGAGTACTTCAGCCACTAGACCACCTCGGCGAGGCGAGGAACGCTAACGGCAGGTGCTCCTACTGCATGTGGCAAACAACAACAACAACACAACAACAAAGGAAAGGAAATATTCGGACGTACGCAGCGAAATCCTGAGTCTGTGAAGTTCTGCAAACAAGCAGCTAGTCTGTCCGCGTCATTGCTTCTCTTTCTTTGATTGAAAAAACGTCACTGTCTCATTTCCGTTTGTTTTATTTTGGTTGCATTAACATTTTAAAACACATTTCAAATGTGCAAGCTAATGAATTCGAACATCCTCACTGAGTGGTCGCTCCTGAGCTGCACTCGTTACTCCAAGCGTCAATCTTCCATCGAGGGCACTGGCAACGAAATTTTCGGACTGCGCAGTCATTAGTACATTTTGCCTTCGATATATATTTTTTCAATTCTTGCGCAATGAGCAGCCTTGCCTTTCTGTGATTGTCCCAATTTGTTAAAAAAAGTTCGTGTATTCGTCGTAGACACCTGCAGTTATCTCCGAAACGAACACACATTTGCACTGTCAGTGCGGCTGGACCCTGACTGCGGGACCATATATTTCAAAAATAATTCTAAGTTCTGTTTCAGTTAGCTTCTTTTGTCAATGAGGACAATTTTTTGTGTCTGTAATCAGCGTGTCTAAAAGGAGGCTGGAAATTACAGCGTTTCAGCACCATCGACTGGAGAGTTAAAAGAAATATAGGAAAACGCGTTGAAGGGAACCCGTGGACTTCGACAATCCGCTTTCCGTCGTTAAGAAAAAGCGCCGGCAAATGAGAACTCTGCCAAGTACGGGAAGGGCACTCGAGTGAGAAGGACTAGTTGGAAGAGATTTGGGAGCTTTGTAAGGCTAACGACGAACACAAACAGAAATACAGCTTTGATCTCGAAAGGCGTTCTTATTGCGTTTGCCGCTCAGCAAAGAGTGAAATCTGCGAAATTGCGTTCAATTTTGCGTTCAATTACCGATTTTTTATTATTTGCCTTTGAGTCAACCTGGCGACTCCACTTTTCATAATACAGTAGAAAGAATGTGAAAGGTTAATGCAGACTGCATTAAAACGTCACACTAGTTCTTACCCTCGCGCCAGTACACAAGAGCGAATGTCTATGAAGCACTGATAAATTTTCAACGTTTACCCAAAATCTAAACGACTACATTATAATAAACATAGTCCTTTGACTCCTTTCAAAAGGGAAGCAGCTTGTGGCCAAGCTAAATCTAGTGTGTGCGCTGATCCGGACGGCGCATGCGCAACAGCTGGCTCTAGCACTGTCAGAACGCGCTCACAAGCTAGCGCGTTCCTGCCTGTGTAAGGGGCTGGGTGAGACGCCGTGGCCTCTCCCCCTTACACTCTCTCAGCAATCACGTGATGGCGCCAGGAAACGAGATTCTGCAGACGCGCGATGAACCAGCGCGTTGTATCCTAGTCAGAACATGTTGGCATGCGCTTACGCATTCAGGCCAGCGTGGGTGGCTGTCTAAGAGACTGTAGCCTATCCCGCTTACACTCTCTCAGCAGTCCCGTGATGGCGTTAAAAAAAGAGATTCTGCAGGCGCGCTATAAACTCTGGTGCTATCACTTGGCATGCCCGAACAGGAGTTCGGGGCGTGTAACAGTAATAGAAACTACAGCGAACTCGTGGTGTGCTTCACTTGCAAGGACGCGTTAACATCTGGCGAGGTGCCCGTGATGAACGGAACTTTAAGCCGACCCACGCGCTGCTTCGCAAGCTACTCATGGTCCCGAAAAGGGAGATGGTGTAATACTTTAATAATTCTGACGAGACACATATGTGAGTATCTTTAATGGTACATGGGAACTTTCTTTGACTATCATTACGCTCTCTTGGGGGGGTCATGGGACCAAAAAGTATGGTAAGGTATCTCTTTAATGGCAGTATCAGATCTAGGAAGCTGGTGACATTTGAAAGCATAACACAATCTTTATTTTCTTTTGTTAGACTGCATTGTACCGCAGATGAGTGATCTTCTCGCTCGTGCGAGTGCAGTACCTAATGCGTTGATGTATTTGCAGTTTCCAAGACGACCAAAGAAGTGGAGCTCCAGTGGGGGAATGCCGAGGCTGTCACCATGTACAGTGGTCTAAAGATGGCTCAATTTGAACTGCAACAGATCAGTTTGACAAAATGCAGCGGTGCATTTCAGATAGGTGAGTGTGTGATCAAGCCAAAGCACTTCGGCTACATATTAGCTGTCCTCATTTAGGTGCTGAGATCTAAGGATAGTCATTCTTTGGATACTTGAGTGCCACAAACTTAGTCTGACTGCTGGTCACCCTATTCAGCCACCCCGCTCAAGTTTATGCACTTGCTGAACGTCCAGTTATCTTGCTGTGCTTATATTTGTGAATGTCACAATCAAAAAGCAAATACTACCAATATCTGAGGCACAACAACAATATGTAAGTATAAGATGGTGTGTTCCTTTGATAGAAAACACATAGATACGTAATTCTAAACACCATAGTGCTTTTTATGCTGCGCTGAAAATGCGACGCTATGCTCGAAAGGAGCGCAGGCTCAACGTGTACATCTATAGGATACATTATTTCATCATCCAGACTAGGGGTAAGCGATCACGCATCTGCTTATGCCGGGAACATCATAAGAACAGCTTAGTCGGAAAATTCTTCAGTGATGTGGTTATTTATTGTAAGACTATGTGCATAAACTCTCAGAAGTCATAGACAACGTCTCAATACTGTATTGCAGTCCATCGACAGCTTTACAATTCTGCGCCTTGGAACTAAGAAGAGGTTCAATATAAACTGCCCTTTGGTGGTCCAACGGGGAAGCTGCAGTTTCATAAAGAAATCACTACTGCTCTTTTTAGACGTTCAGTACAGCAGTATTACTGAAAAAAGTGAAAGCAGCTAGCTGTATGAAATGCATTATGCGCTGCCGAAAAGCCCCCGCTAGAATTTCGCACTGACGTGCTATGCAGTGAATATGAGGCCAAGGCAGGCTTTTTACCACCTTGCATTTGTTCAGTTGGAAAACGTTTTTCTCCTTTGCAACAAAAATAACTCCTTTGAAACTGTCTGCAAATATTACTGACTAACCATACTATGCAATATTGTAAAATTTATATTTATACTTCGATCGCCACATTGCGAAAATTCAGCCGCAATATGAGTCAGTGTGCCGTTTTCGCCAACTTTGCCACAGTTTTTTGGCAATACTTTTGCTTTGTGCGAGCGAGCTACGTCGGTAAGACCCCGACCATCTGTGACAACACTAGCGGACGTCATCAGAAATGAGAGCAGGCGAGCTGTCGCCCCAGTCGCACTACCAATGCCTGAGGTTCCGCACTAACCTATGCGGCGGCTCTTCTATCTCCTCGTCACCAGCCAGAGGTCCCTGAATGTGTGAAATCTAGCAGGCTACCCATTCATTCGAAGACACCGCTTGCAGTCCACCACCTGGGTCAATGGTCCCTAGCATACCCACATATATGCTGCCTGGCTCAAGACAAAGTGCTGGACAAGGCAAGCGTGTAGGGCACGTCGAACAGTCGTCCACTGTGCTACCACTGCGGTGAAGCGGGCCACGTGTGTAGCAACTGACAGTACCGCCAACTTGGTTTCAGCGGCTTCCACCACTATGCTTGATGTCCATGGTACAGTGAGCGTACCCGCGAAATCGAAGCGTATCTCACGGGCCAGCGAGTGCCTTCGACTGTTTAACACCAGCAGACGAGGTCACCATCGCCTCGCCGCTCTCGTTACGAAGTATTCGGCAGCAAGAATTAGATGTCACCATCGTACTCAAGCCTGGGCGAAAACACACCGACTCCAGTTGTCGTTCACGTGCACGAATTGAAAATGCCAACACTGACCATGAGAGGACGATGCTTTTCTTTCTGCCTTGTCAGCAACAAGCTTGCCTTGTCAGCAACAAGCTTGGCTCAGCAAGAGCTTGACGCCTTGGAGCACAGTGCGCTCATTGAATACCTCTAAGGAAGTGAATCCAACCTTTCCTCGTAGCTTCACCCGCTCAGTTACCTCCTTTTGTTTTGGGGGTGGAGCTGTTTACAAGAGAAACTTTGACAATACGCCATTTACACATACCTACTAGTTGTGCCAACCTAGCTTTTGTAAGAAATTTCATGTGCTTGCCACGACGCACCATCTTACGGACACCTCGGGCACACGCTCACGTTGGAACGAATTCACCGCTCCTACTGCTGGCCAAGTCTCGCGAAAACTGTGAAGCACTGTTTGCGCATACCACGACTGACAATGACGTAGCACTCCACCTGTACGACCAGCAGGATTCCTACTCCCAGTAGCCACACCGAAGCGCCTTTTGATTAGCTTAGCGTAGACTTTCTGGGCGCTTCCTCCGTGTCTTCATCTGGAAATCGGTGGTTTGTGGTTGCAAGAGATTACTTAACACAATACTACGAAACAAAAGCCTATTAAAGCTACCGCGGTGGAAGTCGCCCAATAATTGTTTTGGTTAAAAGCATTGTCCTCCGTCACGATGCTCCAGCTGTCGTCATCACAACTTTCATCCATAACTTTGTAAGAAATATTCAGTCTAAGATGTACATCCGAGCAATCGGGCTTGCTAAACGACTAAACAAGATAATTGCAGACATGCTGTCAATGTATGTTACAATTTACCACAAGAACTGGCACGATATCTTAATTTACGTCACATTTTTTTTTAAAACACTGCAGTTCAAGATAGGACAGGTTTAACGTCTTTTCCCCCCTGTGCACGAGCGAGAAGTAACCACAATGCTCGACGCAGTGGTTCTTCTCGACAACCTGTATTGTTCAACATGGACACTGTCTTGTTCACCCAATGCGCTGAAGAGGCCTGTCAACTCGCGTGACGCCGTATCCAGCGTCGCTAATCTGCAGACGCACGCCTATACAATCTTCGTCACCGGAATTTTCCCTTCAACCCAGACGATCAAGTTTGGGTGTGTACCCCCATCCGACAACGCGGCCGGTACAGACAACTTGTTGCGTCGCTCTTTCGAACTGTAGACAGTATTGAGAACTTAGCGCGGTTTCTTTTATTTTACCTATTTCATCATGTTTTTTCTTGTTTATTTTCATATTATACCATACTTTATAGCGACCGACTGAGCTATTTTGTGTTACGACACATTTATTCCCCTTGTACCTTGTATAGTGCATTCTTACTTTTCCTTGCGTCCTAATGTGCCGCACCGTGACGATGCTTTTGTGGGAGCATCGAGATTCCGGGAATGACACATCTTTTACGAACCACCGGGGGGGGGGGGGCGCATACACAATTTGGAAAGAGAAGAACGTTTTTGTGAACTGTTTCTGCAGTAGACGTCAACTCCCGGCTTTCTGTTTTGTTTACCCGCGAGAATATGTAGAAAATCTCAGAACCACCTTCAATGAATGTTCTGACGAGCAATTCAGTTTTGAGAGAGCAAGAAGTAAACACACAAAACACAAGAAAAAAGGCGTTCAGTACTGAGCTTAAAGTGGCAATGAACCAAAAGCTTAGACTTTCCGAAAAATGAAATCTTTGTGCTGATGACGAAAACATTTCACATTCACTCTTTGTTCAATGGCTAAAGCATACATATTTTAACTTTTTTAGCTCGCACAGAAGACAAGGGAAAAAAAGAGAGACACACGAGCGTTACAATTGTCTCTCTTTCTTTTGTTTGTGTCGTCTGTGTGCGCTAAGAAAGTTTAAGTAACCATACATACCAACTGGCCCATTTATCCTTCTTATTGTTAAGCATAATTTTGAAGCTCATGCGAGTTTGCATTTGTATAAATAATAGTTTATGCCGACAGGACAACTTTTAAAAAATGCCCTGCTTTGTTTATGTAACAAAATTACATACCCAGTTTTGCTGTCAGTAGATAAACTAATCCCATATTACGGGCTTTCTTCGCTTCCATTCCTACCTGATTTCAGGCGAGTACAGCTGTCTGCGCGCTGAACTCAACCTCAAGCGATCCATTGGTCACCACCTGGTGCAGTCCTACCTGCCATCCACACTCATCGTGGTGGTATCGTGGGTGTCCTTCTGGCTCGACGTGGACGCCATACCAGCGCGCATCACTCTGGGCGTCACCACGCTACTCACCATTTCGTCCGAGAGCTCCGACCACCAGGCCAACCTGGCGCCGGTGTCGTACGTGAAGGCGCTCGACGTATGGATGGGCACGTGCACCATGTTTGTGTTTGCCGCGGTGCTCGAGTTCACGTTCGTATCTTACCTCGCACGCAGAAAGCACATTGTTCCCGCCTCCATGGGGGACGTCGAGGCGTCCCAAGATCTCGTCCTTGTCGTGGTAAGAATAACATAAAGTACCAAGAGTGGCACTCGAGAGAGATTTACGTGTTGAAGGATGGAAAGAAGATGACAAAGAAAGACGGGGGGGGGGGGGGGGGTAAAGGCATGAAAGTTATTTCAGGATAACCGGTACACTACCGTGAGCAGGGGACGTGGTTAGGGAAGATTAAAATAGGAGTACAAATAGAGAGAGTGAGGGAGGGAAAGAGAACATCATCAATCGGCAGTCTTGCGCGATACATAGTATCATCGTCACTCTACAGCTGTTCGAGCGAGCCTGTTGTCCTGAGAAGTATGCAAATATTAACGCAACCAAGGCATTGTGAAATTTGTTCGTGAATTCTGAACGCATTGTACTGTAAGTATTGAGATGCATAGATGTTCAGGAGAAAATTAAGGCTTGAATAGAGAAATAATACTGAATCCGGGATGGCACCGGAGCCAACGTTTTATCAACAGGCTTCTCTTCATCATTTCAGGAACTTAAACATGGGGCCTTCCTTTTTCCATGCAGCAACTTTAAATAGAGTCGCTGCGTTGAAGAATACAAAAACATTTATGGAATCATTGGTTCCAGTGACACCTTGGGTTCAAGGCTATTAATCTCTGTTAGTAGTGAAAAATCTGCCCTCACGCCTCGAAAACGTGACGTAGAATAACTTATCTTCCGTAACTTTTAATTTTAGAGCTTTGAAAGCCCTAGAAGCTAAGGCCTTTCACAATAGACAGTAAGAAATTAGGTAAGTGTGGCTCTTTACAGGGTATTCACTACTATCTTTGGTGAGCCATATTTGTATGTAATATCAGATGTGGAGGATATTCTGTTATAAGGTTTTTCAAGCGAATTTCTGCACAGACCTGTTTTTGAAAGGGTCCTGTTATTTCGAGTCACTCGTGAATGCCGAGGTAAGCTCAATCACATAAATATCATGAATGTTTCTGATTTAGTAACAAAATACACTTTGTTCCCAAAGTGGGGCATTGATATTTTATGTTTTGCCAAACAACAATGACGCTGTATTTTTTCGTCTTGTGACCGCTTTGCCATCTCACCTCTGAGGAGCTGAACGAAGGTGCAATTGAGGCAGGCAAAATCGTTTCCTCATTTGTAAACAACGTTCAGAAAGAAATACTTTATCTATAAAAGTAGTTCAAGGTGCTGCTTTCTCTAAAAATGAGGTGCAGAAAGGTTCGAAAACGCCAGTCATTAACTCAGTCACTAACAAATGATTCAGAACAAACTGATTTTTGCCTGTATATAGCTGACTAAAGCAAGAAAACCTTGGGTCGAGAACGACTACGCCGAACAAATACCATGAATCGAAGTGAGTGTCACGTGCACTTGGATTCTGCAGGAACAAACAAAGTCTTATGTCCATGCACAGGGGGCTCAAAAACTAACATTTCTTAATTGAGTGTCTTGCCTCTACAATAGAAACAATAAAAAGCCAAAGCAAGCAGTCAGAACTTGATTACATTTGCACTAATTTACTTGTCTTAGTACCTGCTTCCATCAACGAATCGCCAACGTTAGAGGCCATACCAAAGGGACTCGCAGAAAGCATGCCTAAACAAAATGTCTGGTGCAGCGGACTGCTAACTAATTCATGGGGGCTTCCTTCATATTGTTCTCCAGGGAAACAGTGAGAAAACTAGAGCTACGTCGCCGTCCATCCCGACCTCCACCCACGTGATCTTGGCTTACAGACACCGTGCAAAGCAGATCGACCAAGTGAGCCGGGTAGCCTTCCCAATTGGCTTTTGCCTCTTCAACGCACTCTACTGGCCCTATTACATGCTCTAGCCGGCTGTGGTCTCGCTTCTGTTGTTGCTGCTGCCAACGTGAAGTCGTAGGCTGGAAAGAAACGACTGGCTGGATCCCGCCGGGAAATGGTCGACTGCTGAGCTTTGAAAGGACTGCCATCACCGACTCACGTTCCTGAGAAAGAGGAAGCTAGCACTCTTTGTTCAGCCGCAATCTCTTTCTTTTGTTTGACCATCACTGCTATTGCTCTTTGTCTTGAGTACAACCGATGCGCTGTCAACAGAGCTTCCTTGTCTCGATCCGGTGGTGACACATTGGCCTGCCGCTTGACATTGTAGCACGGCCTTTCCGGGCGGGTATGTTGCACGACCCAACAACCGTCTTTATGGCCAGAACTTCCATGGTTATAAATTTATAGGCAAATATTTGTAAATAACAACTATTTTACCCATCGAAATCATGGTTGTACTTAGGGTAATAATAAATTTAGCTTGGACATTTCTTGAATAAGAGACCAAATACTGCACATCTTCCACCATAACGTAGTCGACATGTGAGCATATTTGTTTTCATTCAACGCTACGCCAACTTCGCAAAAGTGTCATTCACGTTTACAGTATCAAGCATTCTCCTTGAGAATATTATGAAACGGTGCTGGTATAAACCCCGGGCCCGTAATGCTAGCTTTTGTTAACTACCTAATTAGTTTTTGTCAGTGCATGTTCTTCATGTGATATTCAATGCTACGTAAAGTTGTACATACAGTCCACACTGAGAGTCCATCTTATCTTTTTAAAAATGTAAGCAGTATGAATCAATAGAACACAGTGCGGGCCAGTGACGTCATCGAAGTCAATCAATGTGTGGCTAAGAGTTTTCATCTTGCTTATATTCTTAAGTTTGCAAAGTAAACTTATCATGTTTATGTGGTTTTCTGTTTAGGTGTGTAAGGGTTTACACTCTTTTAATCCGTAACTGACTGCAATGACCTAATTACTTTAAATCAAAGAAACCCACTGCAGCGAATAAAAATCGCTAACCACTCAAGGTGATTTTTTTTCGGAGTCTTTGCTGCAATGAACTCTTTTCATGCCAAACGATTGGTGAGCTCTGACTTATTCTGCCTGGGTGAATTGGTCCACACACTTCATCCGGCCGCATGCTCAGTCCAGTCTCCAGAAAGTCAGAGAGTAATACGACTGCCGCATTTGGTGAAGCACTGTACCGAAGGCAGTGAACATTTGCTTCATGGCCTGAATATGTTCGGATGCTACATTGGTTTGCCAGGGCTCTTCAAGACATTTCGTATGCAGACTACTTAACGGCAGTGATTAGAAGACTAAGCTGCATATTCAGCGCTTCATGGGTTTCTGTTTTCATTGCCGTGTCGCCACCTAATGACTTTCGCACCTTCCTTCAGGAAAATTGTAATCCCAACCAATGCATGAAAGACGAGCGCCAAGTACTTTGATGAATATAAAATGCTCACATTACATGTAATCATCTAGACATTTTTATTTGTATAAATATTTCATGACATCTGAATGATTGTGCTTAACATGTTTTTTTGTCAAATCGTAAAAATTTCTCTACTTCATCTTGACTATGTAAGTTCATATCATCAGATCTATGCTCCCCACGGTTTGATTACAGTTAGGTGGAACGTCTATTAGCTGCTGCTAGTGGCCATAAAAGCTTTATCACGTAAACCTCAGCAAAAGCATTACGTGTCTTTATTTCTCATAGTTCGTGTGCATTGAGGTACCATCGGTTCATAAATTACCTAAAAAAACAATACCTAAAGGGAGCTGTAGTATTTACGCAATAATAACTTTAGAATCACTGTTCTTTTTAGTAAGATTATATGCCGATGCTTTCCGACATTGAAAACACTGCCTATACTTATTTAGGTGTTCTGTATTTTTAAGTACACTTGATATATAACAAGCTGACATTGAGACGCTGGATTTTCGCAACAGGGTAAAAATCGGGAATCTCCATAATGTATTTATTGTTTCGACTTTCAGTTCAGGTGCTGTATTTTGTCTTTTCAGCTAGATTCAGCGTAAGCACTATGTCATGCTAATCATAAAAAGCTGCAAAACTTCTAGTCACATTCCGAGCGGCGCAAGACACACTACCAGCTCGTTTACTTACAAAACAAAAAAGGCTGAATGCTTGTAATGAATGATAGCGCATTGCAATTTAGTTTAACCCTATTCTACATTATTTACAAGAGTGAATTACTTTGAAAACAAAATATAAATTTTAGAGTATTTGTAACCAGTACATAAATGCCGCATTAAAAAACGTTTCGAGTTTATATCTCGTCTTCTCATATTTTAAAAAAACTGAGATTTTATGGTCTTAAAGTATCATTTTGTGTATGGTTGAATTAGTCATTTGAAATGAATAAAAGCGAAAATGCAAAATGCACCAACCGGAAACTTTGTTGAAATAATCTATAGAGTCGGCTGTTTTGCTTTTTTTTTGAGGGGGCAGGGGGAGAATTAATTACTGCTTCTCACTGAGCAAATGAAACAAACAATGAAAAAAAAAGAAAATGAAAGTTGCACAAAGCCCGTTACAAGCATGAACACCGAATGTGAAAACAGAACACTAAACAATCCACTAAAAGGAGTGTCATAAACGTGTGCTATTTATAGATCTATACTTTGTTCTGCGTTCTTTCACTATTGTTTCCCACTGTTCATACCGCGAGTGGTACATAGTGCAGACAGCAAGAAGACTATCATATGGATTTGAAAAAGTAGCGAAACGTGTTGAAAACTGAAGAAATAGTGAAACAGAAGCACATGCGACGCTGAAACAACAGCGCACCTATAAGTGATATTTAATGATTTTATTTACGGATCGTGAGAGATAAAAGTACAGAATTTATGTGGAAGCATTATGCGTGCATGGGGCAACTGTTCCTTTGTAGATAAGCTGCACTTTCCATTGTCTATTTTTTTTCTTCTATGATGATGCTACTTTGCCGTTGTTTATTCGAGCTTTAGGGAAATAAAATCTAAATACAGTGTCACTTTATCATGAAAGGACCCTTTAGTTCATAGTTAACTGATAAAAAGCAGTGAAAAAGAATAGGAACAAATAATTCACTGTGTTTTTATTTGTTCCCATATTTCGGCTTTGTTCTTCTTTTGTTAAGCGAACTAATTTTTATCTTACTGCATTCTTCATTTTAAAAGCAAGTTTTTTTTGCGTTCTGGTGTAATTCTAATAGTGAGAAACACACATATAAAGAGAGCAGCGGCCATTAAAATCACGCTAGTACCGGGTACCAGGTTCTTTAACAACCAAGTTCTTACCTTAGTGTCATTGGTGACGTTCTTTTCGAATTTGCAAGCTGGATACTCTTGTGCTAAATCATTCACTTTTCTTCACTCATAATGATTTAGCTTCCATGAGAAACCCTGTAGGCAGAAACCTTACTTCGTGACTGCAAAAAATTGAAGTACATGTTACAATGTTCAAAGCGTGTAATAATTAACTTAAAAACCTGCTTTATTTGTCATTCTAAAAATAGCGCTATTAATTCGTGTCTGAAATGCGTCGTGTGATGGTGCCGCGTAACGTATTTGGATTAGTATGTGCAAGTATTATGCTTTCTTTTTGTAAAAACGGTGATTTTTAAGATTCGTACTTATTGTGTAAATACTTATTTATTTTGTGATAACCATTTTCTTGGAAGTTTACTCCTAAGCTTCATACACAAAAAGAGCAGTTTTCGGGTGCCCGGTGCTCACTGTAGCATGTAAAAAGTCAATGGTGTCCGAAATACAATACCTGTGTAAATAGTCCCAGCGTATTACAATATTGTAGTCGGTGTATATTTGTGTTTACACCTAGAAGTATATAGCAAGAGCTCTATTCTCCTAAGGTGTCTGACAAAGCTGCGCTACTGACAAATGTGCCTCAGAATATATATATATATATATATATATATATATATATATATATATATATATATATATATATATATATATATCATTTGTTCATTCTTGGTTTTGCTCATGAATCACGCATGCACGTTCCAATACTTCTCATATTCCAGTAAAGCTACGTTTTTAGAATGATGTTACATATATATTCTTGTTGAACGTTGTACCTTGCATTGGTCAATACAAGTACGCATTCGTTTCCATCACTGAGGTTTTCACTACACCTATGTAATCTGAGCCGACTAATAGATGTGCGTGGTGTGGCAATACATCGTATACTATGGTTTATCTTATACAGTAACATTTCCAATAATTGTAAGCCTCCTTGGCAACTAAATAAAGAATAAAAAATGTTCACGCGACAAAGTAAAGGAAATCGACAAAACAAAACTTCTGTCCCACTTCTTTCAGATGCTTTTAGTGTTTATTTGCTATTTTTTCACAGGCAAAAACAATAAATCTAAGTCCATTCTTTGTCATAGTGGCGTCAGTGTTCCATGCGTTTATCAGACCGAATACTACGTCACCTTTGCTCACCCTATAGCGAATGTTTGTTGGAATATTTTCAAACGAAATTGTTTTTTATTCATGAAGGAGTGTATTACCCTACTACATACTTTGTGAATGTTGTGTGCACTGGTCACGAAATCACAATCTCTGCATCATTGGGTCTCATATTATGAAATAAAATAGTTTACATTCTCATGTGTTTCTTATTTGTGCTTCATGTATAAGTTGCGAACGGTGAAATTCTATACGTTATCACCTGCGTTTCTAGATGTTTCAGTTTGCTGCTTCAAAACAGTGGGGCCTCAAGTCATTGACTGTAAGTATATGCCACTAACGAGTAGATTCCTTTTTCACGTGCTTTTTAATTTTTTGCAAAGATAATTTTCATTACCTATATTCTACACTTGTCCTTTTTTCAGAGCACTACAGTGTACAGTACAATACAAGAAATCGCCATTCATATTGTCATTCGTATTCATGACTTGCGTAGCCCATATTCCAAAGTCTGTCTTTTTAAACCTACACATTAATATTCTTTAAACCTCGCACCGTTTCCCAGCTATGTCGTAATCAAAACAACAGGTTTAGCTCATGCGCGCTGTCAGACGCCTACAATGAGGAGTAATGAGGATAGATTATTTTTTTTTTCGGGAAAGAGCGCATGTGCACGTACAGTAAAAAAAAAACCAATTGCATAGAAATAGATTAGAGGACTCTCTATATCTTGTGTCGCAATGTCAATTGACATACTGGAACATGCACCTAGGGACGACTTGGTAAAAAAAAGGCAAGTTTAAAAAGTGCCAGAAGCCGCTGAATATTAATTAACAGCTTTCAGAACGGGCACGTGCTCTTTGACTACTCGTTTCAGGTAGGTGACTTTTGTTCAATATATTTTGGCACCGCAGCGCCCCAGATTTCGGGTAATAAATGTAAATGTGAACACCGGGGAAATAGTCAGACATATTCGGTAAAAAAAAAAAAAAACGGTCATCATGCGAGCCACGACTTCTCGCGTGAAAATATGATAGTCACCTCACCTCTTACGGTTATTCTAAAATGTTTATGAAGGATCTGCATAAGCACACGGAATTCACTAAAAATAATTATGACCCGTTTGTGCATAGCATGGTGCACTTCGTAAACATGGCAGCCATGCCTAGCCCCGGGCACAACCATTGGGCAAAGGAAGTTTCCTCTACCCCCCAAATGCCACCCTGGTACGCTGAAGCGTCGTCTATACTCTGCGCAAGCATTTAATGCTATCTTTTCAATCACCAGGATACCGACTGTCTATATTAATAAATACAACGAGCGATGTTTTTAAAACCGAAGCTGTTGTATACAGCTGTTGTAGCTCGCCGTAATGTCGTAACACAGACTATCATCATCACGAATGGGTATATGCCGCAGCCACTGGGCAACCGGCGGACGGCGTATAGCAAGTGGATGCGGAACAGGGAGAAAATATGAGAGACAGAAAAAAAAAAGAGATGGAAAGTAAAAGAAAAAAACTTTCCGAGGCTGCGGGATTCAGATCCACCTACCCACGACGAGAGGGCGGTGGTGTGTCGAGCGCTTGTCCTGTTTTCTTCTCTTGTGTGCTTCCTTTTGTGCGCTGCCCAATTATGAATACATACATTAACTTAAAACAGCATATCCATGAGATGAATAATGATGAGTGGGACTGAGTGTCCGTCAATCCGTCTATGCTTTCATCCGTGCGTCCATTCATCTGTACGTGCGCCTGTTCGTGAGCCCATTTGTGCGCCCGTTTGTGCGTCCATTCGTGCATCCGTTCGTCCGTCAGTCCATGCGTGTGTCTGCACGTCTGCTTGTCTGTCTGTACGTCCGTGCGTACGTCCATGCGTACGTCGATGCGTTCGTCCGTCTATCTAGGAGACACTTCACGTACCGCCATCTCGCTTCTTTTTATCATATAATCATCTTATTCAAGAACCACCTTTCAGCGAACAATTCAAGGACTAAATGAGAGTATGTACCACATTTCTGCTGTCAGCGCTTTGTTA